CATATCTTCACCTTCGGTGGATTAATTTTGATGAAGAAGGAGGGGGGGAGGGTAAACTTCACCAAGGACGTTACTCGCCTTACCCTTGGGATGTCCGTTCACATTGAGGGGCGAAACTAGGACGCGCACAAACCCCTCCCTCTCTGCCATCGTTGAGCATCCGTCGCAGATGTTCGTAATTACTGAATTACGCAAACGGTCTGCAAAGACCTGTCTGTGCGCAGGTTCAGGACGTCTCCCACACCCGATCCAGGGCAACGGTAAGAGACGTCAATTAACTGTTGACGTTACTGGCTATGCAAATCGTGCGATGATCTGGGGGATTAGAGGTAGCAATTGCTACTTTTCTACTTCCTTCCAAAAAGCTTCGCCAGCCTTCCCTTGCGCAGTTGGTCAGGCAGTGACGTATGCATGGGGAGTGGGGGTGGGTTAACTAGAACGTCTCCTTGTACAGCTGAGGAGCTTTCTGGACCAAACGCAAGCCTGTGATTGGCTGGGAACACACGGCGGTTGCTAGTGAGCTTTCGTCGACCTGTCATCACGTAATTCACAGGGCCGTTGACCATACTTTTGACCGTCTAACCCTGTTTCCCCTAGAAAGCTATTTATAAATGCGAGCCTCCGTGCCTCCCCCAACTGAAGACATTCTTCAATTGCCTCTCTTTTTGTCTTTCAGCTCTTGGAACTCTTTGATAGTGAAGATCCCCGCGAGCGTGACCTCGTTAAGACCATAATGCATCGTATTTATGGCAAATTTCTCTCCCTCCGTTCCTACATTCGTCGTCAGTTTAGTAACGTATTCTACAAGTAAGTTGTGAAGCCTGCCGCTTTTCTCTTACCATCCTTTTGACTTGATGAGAAAAAGGAGCATAAGTAAAGAATGGGCCTACAAGTGGGTTCATACAGCTGACGTGGTGCCCCACCCTAGGTTTGAACCCGCGACATTGTTAGTTAGAAGTCCGATGCTCTAACCACTGTCCAAACCACTTCAGTCATCTTTCTTGGATGGCCTTGGATATCCTTGCTAAGTTTTTGCAGCGAATGCGGACTGCCTCATTTGACACAAAGTCAGTGTACTTAACTATAAGAATTGTTCTCGAGCAATGTTGGTCAAATACCTTCAGTTTTCTTTCATCTTCCACGCACATGGTCCAGCATTAACGGCCGTAGGGAAGAACAAACCGAACGGATGCACGATGCACGTGGACCTTCGTGACAATGGAAATATCGTGTCGGGTCCATAGGCTTGAGAAAACTCGACGAGCTGCATCGATTCGTGAGATAACCTCATCCTTAATACGTCCATTCAGCAGCAGAGGTATTTGAAACTGTCTACTTCGCCAGGTTGATAGCCAC